GTGCTGACAAATTTGTTTTGGACATGAACAAAGTAAAACAATAGAGAAGAAAATATATCAAAAGCTGACAGAATTCTGTCCTCACTGTTGTTTCCAACAATCTACATTCTCTTGCCATAGTAAATGAAACAGTATTAAGTGGTAGATAAATGTGGTTTATGGGAAAGGGACAATGGAAAACACAATCTGAAGTTCACACCCAACAGGAAGGCTTTGCCCCTATGGGGAATTATCGGCCCATGTATATAAATATGAAATTTGTCCAAATATTTCAAGTTATCAGTGTGTATGTGTGTATAATTTATTGCTGATCTCTGCTTCAGCAAAATTTTATCAGTTAGCAGGTTAACAAGCATTTTAGAAAATATTGAGAAAGGGATTCTCACATATCCCCACGGAGTGCATACTTCAATGATTTAATCACATACAGACTACATAATTGAGCTTTCAGAAAAGGATATATTAGAATAAAGTATTGCATATTAATAGAGCATAATAGGTTATATTTTACTGTTGCTTTATACTTGTTATATTTTCTGGAGAATTTCAATGGATGTAATAAAGTTAAAAAGTAAAATATTTAGGAAATATCTTCTAGATTTTTTTCATTTCTACTGTTGACTCTAGCATACAAAATATTTCTTATACTCTTCTTAGGAAACTGCTCTTGATATCACACCTAAGAATTAATTCATCCTATTTCTTAACACACCCATTTTTATCCCAAAATACGATTGTCTTTTGTGTGTTGTATTGGGTATAACAAAATGTCCCTCAAATAGTAGAAATTAACTTTCTCACAGTTCTAGAACCTGACACTCTACCATGAGGGTACTGGTACAATAACATCCTGTTCAGAGCACCTTCTCACCAACTCTTCAGGTGTGAGGGGAAAGGGAGAAGGGAAAGGGAGGAAGGCATGGAGATTTCTCTTCTACTGCTGATGAAGGCCACTAACCATACGGATAATGCCTCAGCCTTATGATCTCAACTTTATCTTCCAAAAGCTGGGTCTTCTAATATAGTCACATCATGGATGAGAGTTTCAGAATATGAATTTTGCAAGTATACAAGTCAGTTAATAGCTATCACCCAGTTAGATAATCCACTTTATTTTTAGTGTGTGTGTGTGTGTACATGATGTTTGCCTGGGTGAGTTCATAGGCTACAGCTAATGGAGATTAGAGAACAATGTTTTTAGAGTTGGCTCTCTGTAGGGAAAGCTGTAGCCACGCCTTCTTAGGGGCTGGCTACAGGTGTGCCTGACTCTCTTTGCTTCTTGGTGTACAGACCTCTACCACACCAGCTGGCTAGGTTGCTCTGTAAGTAAGGCTTTTCCCTATTAAATACCCTTATATTTCTACCTGACTCCATATTGGCAATTTCCCACAATAGCTCTCTCTTTGCAAATTTACATAATTTCTGGGCTGGAACTCGGGTTGCCAGTCTTGTATGGGGAGCACCTTCACCCACTGAGCCATCTCACAGTCCCACTAAGTTGCCATATTCCTTTATCATTTTTGACTTTGTGTTTGTTTGTTTGTTTGTTGTGGAAAGTATCTACCTATGTAGCCCAGGAAGGTCTTGAACTCACAATCTTCCTGTCTCACTCTCCAGAGGGCTGACTGGGATTACAGATGTGTGCCACTGTACGAAGCTTCATTCTCCACTGTTCCTAAGTGGTAAATGAACTCTCCAACAATGAAAACTTGTAAGAATTTTGAAAACAATGCATCTAGAGAGGGCCCAAGGGGAAAAGCATGTGATGGTCAGCCACCTTGCACTGGGGAAGTCAGAACATCATGGTGACACCGAAGTCTAATTCTGACTTTTCTCCCAAGAGGGGCTGCTTTGTCTATCCTGAACTTCATGTTCCTTCTTTGGAAAATTAGATGATCAAAAACCAGACACAACGACCAGTTGTTATATAAATCCATTAATGTGAAATATCTAGAATCAGCAAATCCACAGAGACAGAAAACAAATTCAGGGTTTCCAGGGGCTAAGGGGCCAGGAGGGATGAATGAGCAATGACTCTTAATTTGTATCAAATTTCTTTTTGGAGTGATTGAAATGTCCTAGGATTATATAGGATTTGACGGCTATGCAACATAGTGAACTATTAAACACCATTTATTTGTATACTTTAAAATTAGAAAGTTTCTAGTATTTGCATTATAATCTTAACTTCAGGTACAATTTTAGTGAATAGCTCATGAAAATAGTCCTCTGCAGTATTTGATTGGGCACCTGGCTGAAAGAAGGCTGCAGTAAGTGCTGACTATTTGTACAGTGATCACATAATGTATCAGCCATACATGGATACTTTTTAAGGTTGGCAGAATCCACTAATAATAACTACAATTTCACAATA